GACTCACGTGGCACACAGTCTACAACCCAAAGCCTGAGCTGAGCATTGATGTCGAGGAATTAACGTTGGAGAAGACTAATTACAAACTGCTTGTGCAAATAATTTCTTTGGATAACTTCATTATTAACAGAAAATTAAATTACCTTGCTCGAGGATAAACTTGCTTTGGATTGAGCACTCTATAAAGTACGACGTTTAAAACTCAAATTTCTGAATGGTCACCTTGATGGCAGACCGATGCAACGCGAGTCAACGAACGGACAGGACACTCTCGCACCAACACTCACGGCTGCCAGTTGTATACTAAAATTCTACTGCCCCACGCTCCCCACTCTGACACCCTCCTAATCCCAACCACAAGTCTCAACAGTCAACAGAGTGCTGGCAGTGGTCCGTCAATCAGCGATTCCTGTCAAACACACTTCAGTCTGTCACAAACAAAATGAACAACAGCCATTAAATTACAATGAAATTTAGACTTCAAGTTTTAAGAGAATAAAATTAAAGAGACCATTATATTATGTCTGAGGTATGAAACGATAAACGCTTCGGAGGTACGAGAAGGAACAAATATACGACGTCATATAGATATCTAGGTAGAAAACTTACACATGAAAACGAGATTTTGTATTTAGGGCGAAGTGTAAAGCAGTGGTTCCCTAACTTCTTCCGGCTGGCGCCCCCTTAGGCTCCCTAGTGAATTTCTAGCGCCCCCCACGGACATACCCATACGCCTCTTTCTTGAAATTTAGTACCCTGCAATTTTAAAAGATAAAGGTTAAACACAATAGTGTATTTTACAAATAGAACACCATTTAGTGAACCAATATGTTTTTCAGCTGTTTAACTGTTTCAGCACTAGAAACCTAGGACGTCGCAGGCGAATTTACGGCCGGACTCGTGGCCGGTCTCACGACCAATCTCCAAATTCTAGTATCAAGCAATATCTCCCAAACTAATGAACGCAGCTCTATGAAATTTGGATCACGTATTCATCAGAACCGAACGGAGATGTTTAGCTCCTAATCTTTTTTTATTTTCACCTTCGTTCGTAAGTTACGCGTATATTGCGAAACGGGCCGAAATTCGCAGTGATCAACGAATTTCTTTCTAACTATTGAACAGATTTGAGCGAAATTTTGAAAACTTATTCCTAACTACCGAAAGGTGATTTGTCAGCTTACAAATTATTTTTCGATTTTACCTTCGTTTTTTTTCATTTCACCGCCATTCTTGATTTCACACTTGCTTATATTCGGCCCGTATCGACGGGTAATTTATCATTTAAATTCGCGGCGATCATGAAATTTCTTCTAAACTACTAAACAGATTTCAACGAAACTTTGTATATAAATACCTAGCCTCTCAATGGTGATGTTTAACTCGTGACATTTCTATTTTGCTTTCGTTCGCAAGTTACACAGATATAGGATGAACGACCGGCTTTTCTACCGGCCGGTTTAACCAAGAGCCTTATACGTATAGCCGTATACTGAAACTCGCTAACGGTGGTAAATCGAAAAAATTGTAAACATCACCGTTGCTGAGGTTAGGTATTTAAATACTAAGTTTCGTTCAAATCTGTTCATTAGTTGGAAAAAATTTATTGATTACTGCCAATTTAAGCACGTATTGCTGTTTAAATCACGAATGAAGGTGAAATAAAAAAAAACTCGCCAACGAAGGCACAATCTAAAAAAATTTCACGAGTTAAACATTACCGTTCGAAGTTAGGACTGTAAATTCAAAATTTCGTTCGAATCTGTTCAGTAGTTTGGAAGAAATCACTTGATCACTGTGAATTTCGGCCCGTGTTGCCATATAAATATGGCAAAAACAAACGATGGCAAAATTCAAACAATTTTCACGAGCAAAACATTATCGTTAGGTTCTAATGGATACGTGTATCAAGTTTCATCGAGTTAAGTTCATTAGTTTGAGAGATATTCATGATCATTGAATTTGGAAATTGGCCGTGAGATCGGCCGCGAGTCCGGCCGTTAATTTGTCCGAGACATAAACCCAGGAGAGGTTAAAAAAACAGATCTGGGTGAAAAAACCATCGCTGGGAGTCATGTGCTGCACGTGTCGTGTACAAATCGTCAAACAAACGTTCCAACTTCTGACACTGACTTCGGACTACTGCCCCCACCACCCTCTTCTTACTTCCCGCCCCCCAAAATCTTTCCACCGCCCCTAGGGGGGCGATATCGCCCACTTTGGGAACCACCGGAGTAAAGTTTGAACTTGGATTATCGTAGGCGTAATTTCAGGCTGCATCATAATTTGCCTATGTTTGATTATGAACGAGAATCTTAAACGTAAAAATGGAAAGCGTGCCAATTGCTGTAAATGAAAGAACCCGTATATAAATTTGAAACTTCAACGGTTATTGAATATTGTTATCAGCTCACAAACTATTAATTGCTTATTTATAGAAAGGTATCCTAATTTCATCGAGAACTCTCTTAATAATCTGTATAGGAATGTCTTCAATCTGGACCTTGTAATTAGTTACTTTATGGATTACTGCATCTATGCTTTTCTCGATACCTTGCTTTGAACTAAACTTTGGATGCAATGCATTGAGTAGGGTTTGAGTTTCTTTCACGTAATATATTACTAATAATTATAATTCATCAGTGGCAAACAATAATATCATATCATTCACGCTTCCGCTGCCGAGGTGAAATTTTGTTTCTACGGCTTGACTACCTCCTAAAATACGTTTGTGAACTGGAAATGTTCGTAAATATTCATTCGTTTAATCAAGTCACGAAAAGTTCAAGAATCGGCAACAGGCCATGGGCCTATTTCTTCAACGCCGACACTTCTATTCTATTCTAATTCTAATGTGTCATGATCAAATCGATGCTATGCCAATTTTACGAGCCGACGTGGGGTACGTAGAGCCGAAGTAACCCACCTAGAGGAGTTATCCAAAGCGTCTGTGACAAGAATTTCCGCCTGATTTAAACATAAATTCCGTCTGATTTAAACATAAATAAGTTAGCGCAACATAATTGAAGACAAACTTTTGAGCACATACAACAATTAGAATTACACAACTGACGACTAAACGATTAAAACTCATAGGATCCATTTGTCAAGTAATTCTTTTCGATTAATAATTTCGTAAAAATTCTGTAAATTTCTGTTCATTTATTCAATGAGTTGTTATTACAGAATGTTATGTTAACTAAAGATTTTTCCAGAGTGATAGACGTCCCTCAGCTATGAGGTCGTCAACGTAAAAGTTCATTGCAAAATTTTGGCAGCTCCACTTGCAATGTAGAATGCCATGATTGAATTAATTACTGAATTATTAATTATTAATTCAATCATCTAGAATCCACTCGTGGGACGTTCCGCACCTGCGCGTTGGTACCCTGAACTTGGAGTTTGTTGTGGGGCACGCTGTTATGTCAAATGGGTCGAGTAAAATAAAATAATTTGCATTTTTCAACTCAATTTTAAAATTTTCGCTTAACTTTGAATAATGATGAGTGAGGCATCCCAGAAACCGTGCTAATAAGCGGTCAAGCTCACAGGAGAACACAGCGGTGCTGGGAACGCAGGGCCCTCCGAATGTATGTATATAACATTCGCGGACTGGGAGAGGAGAGGACTATAGCTGCGGTGCTTGTCATCGTAGTTGCACGGTATTCATTATGATCAAATAACGATGATACGTTTTGGGGAATACAGCACCTACTGCCAATGCTCATCCAGAGACTGCAAAGTTTATTGCAAGTGAGCAGCTATCCGTTGAGTATCACGAGTGGTGTGATGAGTTGAAGCCATGAAGGTTCAGAATAACGACTTGCGGGCACTAGTGTTCTGGATATGAAGTAATTCGATAATACTGGAAATGTTTGTACGAGTTTTTTCTTATTCAAGCTAAAAGGAGGTCATGCTTGAATGGCTTGGGTTTTTGAATAAGCACAGCACAACAACAACGATATTACCGTAAAATTTCCCCTTGAAGGTTGAAAATAATTACCAATAGTTAACGAGCCCTGTGATTTACACATAAATGAGGGCATTTTTAGTAATTGTAAAGATTGTTGTTTTGAAAGATTGAGTAAAGTGGAGAAATAACTTAGTTTAACTTAGAGCAGCATCGACTATGTTTCGTGAACTCACGGAGCAGCATAGATACGCACGTACATCATTCATGCTTCATCCAACTATGGCGTTTTTGGCGCTAAAAAAATTTAACTGTAAGCGCCCGTTCCAAGCTACTTTCATCTGAAGAAAAAATTAGTCCAATATTTGAAGAGAGAAGTACTTGCCACTCATACTATCGGCAAACACATACATGATATATTTTTAATATGTGCAGAAAGCAGGGACGAATTAAAAAGTTTCTGAACTTAATTTTTCTCGATCACTATTTCTTTCAACTGAAATCACTATTTCGGTAAATCATTAAATTCAATCTCTTAGACTACCAGGATTGGAGCAGGGAACTGTTGGCTCAACCCAAGCTTTTAGCGATGGTTCTGGTCAAAAAGGCGATTCGGACGAGCTGTTAGGTACAGTGAATGTTAATAAATACGCGCACAAAGTTTCATCGAGCTACGTTAATCACTTTGGGAGATATTCTTTGCTCACTGAACTTGTAGATTGGCCGTAAGACCGGCCGAATGTCCGGCCGTAAATTTGTCCGAGACGTGCAGTGTGTTGCATGTTCGAAACCCGCAACAAGCCGTGAAAATTTTACGATATGCAGAATCGGCAACAGGCCTGATGTGACGGCCTAATCTGCAAGGTTGATACCGCCATGGTTGCAATAATCCATGGTTCAACCATGGATACCGCTATTATTATAATTGTTCCATGTCTTATGTCAGTCAACAAGTTGTGAATAGAAAAATCAAGCAAGCGATATCCGATAAATTTAAAGTACGTGCATAAGTTCACCGTGGAGTAAAATCATTGAAGTCACTTTTTATATTATTTGTTCGCACTTTCTGCATGTTGCAATGCCTTTTGCGCAGAAAGCTTCAACAGTTCGTTTCCAACATGGCCGAAGATGAGTGAGTGAAGTGCGACAGGAGCGAAGGAATATATTCATCTGTTATTCCTAATCAAAGAGCGGTATTGAATGTAGTTTTTTTTGTGAGTGGAATTTTAGTGTGTGTTATTGAGTGACAGAACTTATAAATCCTTTAATACATACAGTGCGCCGGGGCAACAGCTGTCAAAATGGCGGAACTCAACCCTAATGAAACGCACACAAACGGGATAAGCGAGGAAAGGAAATTTCTTTGTGGTGTCGTTGAAGGTTGGTAAAATATTCATCCACTTTTACCGCTGTGTATTTTACCCCATGTTTTTCTAATGCGTTTTATAAACCCTCTCATCAGATGATTAGCGTCTCATAATAAAGAGCAGGTAGTCTATTCTGTTATTGATCAGAAAATCTTTTATCAAGTTTGTTCACTAAAAGAGTTTCAAAACGATTAAATTGTTGTTCAACTGTTGAGGAATTAAGGTTGATCATTGATCTAGCCGGTCATTTCCAGTATCCATTTATAGGTAAATGTCACCTTAGTAATACAATCTAGAAAATCATTAGAAGATAGAACATAGGCTAGGAACTAGAAGTGAGTCAAGTGACCTTTGAAAATGAAATGAAGGTGACTCACTAAAACACCTTTGCTGGCTGTTAACTTCTCACCTGTTCTTATTCAGTTATTGCCCCTGCCTACCTATTTTTTATACCTAAAATAACAGCATCACATTTTTGCCCCAATTTTGATGAATTGCTAATGAAAGTATGAAACAATACCTACTTTTAACAAATGTTTATTGAAAAATTGTGTCCTACATTTTAAATTTCTAAGTAGCTAATCATTAGTGGCAATAAGAGAATTTTGTTAACCTTTCTTAGTAGCTAAGTTAGTGCTAGTGAGCCTAGTGTAAAGGTTAAAAATTGGGCAGAAACTTTCAGTGAATTTGATCAAAACACCCATGAATCTGGCCAATTTTTTCCCTTTCTGTGGTATTTTCTTAATTTCTCTAAGAAAAAATTAAACCTAAAACTGCCTATTTTTATTATGCAATTTTTTAAATCACCTGTTGAATGATAATTTTTATTATGGCTACAAAGTGCCAAATTTTAAATATATATTGATTGGAATCTTGCAGCAAATTATGCACTATTGTAGTTGTTAAATGTTAAGAACTAAATTGGAGGTAATTCAACAGCATGAACCTTGCAGTTCTAAAATTAGTGAGACTGTGTGAAAGCTGCAGCACAATTTGTAATATGGAGGCAGAAGTTTCCTAAAATCATGGGGGGATAAATGATTTTTTTTTCACACAAATGTCTGAGAAAAATAGGCAGGTATTCTCATTTTTCACTCAATATATTAGGCAAAGGCCATAGGATTGGGTAAAATTGGCCATATTTATGGGCATTTCGGTCTGATTTACTGGTTATTTCTGCCTATTTTTTTTACTATAGACTCTAGCGTCTAGCCATAGCTTAGAAGGTAGATACAATTTAGGCCTGGACCTTGGAGATGACAAGGTGCCAGGTGTGCAGAATTTTACATTATCTGTCACTGTCAGCCTGTCAGGACATGCCACTGAGCATTGACAAGGACCTTGTCCACTGCAAGCTCCATATCAGCAGCCGTATAGCATTTCTCCTGTAACTGTATGCTTACAGGATGGCTTGTAATTTTGCACTATTTTAATTGGCTCAAGTGAATTCATTATAATGAAAAAAGAAGATTGTAAAAAACACACCTGAAACAAAATGTAATATGTTAGTGACAACCATTATATTTTTGGAAAAATAAATCATAGTTTAGGTTAATTACTTCTCTTTCAATATTGTCAGGTGCTTGATTCTATCTATGACATTCTATGCACAATTTTGTGAGCACCAATGATGCATTAATTTTTCATCAAGTGAATATTTTTTTTGCTAAGCAAGGTAAATGTAATCAAAGTTCTTTGTTATTAATTGATTTTTTTTTGTCAACTGGAGCCTTCGCTAACCAAGGTTCTATTGTAAATGCATTTTTAGGGCTTTCCCTAATTCCCCCTAATTATCCTGATTGCCTGTGGTGCACAAATGGCTGCCATTTTTCTTGGAATAAGCTACACGAATTCCATCAATCTCGTTTTAAGCCAACACCTGTGTTTAACTTTTATGCAAGTAAAATTTTTTAATGTGGCAAATATTTTTTGCTACAGACCTTGACAGAGGTACTCTTCCAAAATGTCACTTTTCACAATTTTTTCAGGGATTTAGTAAATCAACACATCAAGGTAGTAAATGTATGATGTCTTATTTTGCTTTATGCTACATAGATAGGAAAAATGTTGAACATTACACCACTATTTTTAGTTTTGCAATATTCTAATTAGTTTAGTTGCTACATTTATATGAAATGTTCGAGGACTGTCTTGATTTACCCAGCCCATCCCTTATTGGCCCGTTTGGCTGTATAATCATTCAATCCTTTAATATACTTGTGATACATGTTACAAGTCTGCTTATATATATATTCTAATAACCTGGAAATGTTTTTTATATTTGTCCCTAGTCTCCTGATAAAAAAAAAAAAAAAAAAGACTGAAAATTATCCTTACTCCACTGGGGAAAATATAACCTTTATATAATACTCCAGGAAGTATGTATAATAATATTATACATCATGCCTTGTACTTAATGTTGCAAATATGCAGAAATAAACTAGCCAATCCTTACATTTCAGGATTTTATGGCCGTCCATGGACTCCAGAGCAGCGCAAAGATCTTTTTTCCAAGTAAGTTTTAGGATAAAATGCTGTACAAAATTTTCATTTGTTGAAAGATTTTCATGTGTTGAAAATTTTCATCAGGGTTGTATTTAATATTACCCAATCTATCACAATTATTTTGGTATAGGTATGTCTTGACATTATTTGTCAGTATTCAGCATTAACTCACTGGATCATTACTTGCTCTGAATTTATTCTTGTCTCTTCTTTAACTTTTTGATGAGCACTTACAGCCTAACAGTGCCACTATTTTCACTCTTTTGCTATAGTTATGTGGGCTTCTTCTCAGACACAATTAGTATCCTCAAATATGGATCATGCAAGTCAACAATGATGTGGCTTTGTAAGAAAAGTTTTTAGATATTTGGGTTCTGTCAAACTCAATACTGCCTGCAGTTTGGATGTCTGTATATCTCAAAACATTGTGCAGCAAGATTGCTCATGAGATTTACCTACATTATGTGGACTGACTAATTTTGAGTGTGTAAATAATCATCTTTCATTGTTATAGCACTGTTATTCTCAGCTTTGGAAAATAAGTAACTACAATCATTTTCAAACATCATATATTCATGGACAAGTGAAATTAGTCAACATATATGGAGACATGGGGTCCTCATTGGATGCATATTATTGATTCTTTCTAAGGAGGCACAAAGTTGTAAGATAGTGAAGATGAAATGTTAGAGTAATTTGTACAGATGGAGTAATATCTGAACTGAAGAAATTATAAACTGTGTGATTACTGTGCCAAAGCCCATTTTTTGAAAGAGCTTACTTCAGGTTCTGCAAATCATTGCAGGATATAAACATTTTTAGCTTAAATTGTAGAACAGATTCAACCTATCAATATGCTTGCCATTGCAAAAAAGTGACCCAATGAAGTGTAAATGCAATTGATGGCTTACAGACTTCAGGTCAGACTTTCGCATCAGCCATGAAGCTCACAGTCTTGTATGAAAAAATAAGCTACCACAAACTCTTGAAGGCTAAAATACAGTCAATTTAAAATAGAGTATTTTCTAATATGTCCTGGAATCCTACAGTATTATCTTCATCATCCTAGGAAACTAAGATATGTTAAAATTAAATAAAAGAATGTACTATATTATAGAACAGGAAATGTGTAGATATGGAATCTTTAACATTTCTCTTTCAGCTTCCACATGCCCTAAAATTTTTTGTTTCGCACTATAGCTCAAGCACAGTTGCGACCACCAACTCTCCATTGCTGCAGTCCACTCACATCTCTCACAACATCATGCTCATGCTCTCACCCCACATTCCTCTTCATAACTCGCCTCCTCCCATATGCCTCATATTCCCCCATCAGGCTCCCCTCAGTTTCCACTGACTCCCCCTACACGCAAAAACACTCGTCCTTCCTCCAATTATTCCTTTTGCATAAATGTCCATTCATTTGCAGCACCCTTGCCTTCACACCAGACGCCACCTCCTCTTCCATCATACATGTCTAGGCATGCTTCACTGTACAAGGAGTACTATACAGCACTAGCACTATTACTTATTAGTAGCAGTTGAACACAGAAGCAAGCTTAATATGCAATATTGCTGCATGAATGCCATGTGATATCAGCTTTTTCTTACTGTTGTCACGAATGGAGATACTGTATTTGAAATTTATTAGAATAAAATGTTGTATAATCTTATCCAAATTATCTTTTGAAACTCACAGCACGCTAATGTAGTATGTCATTATATTGATGAGGTCCATCTAATAACCCAATACTTGAAAAATCATTGTTATAAGAAATCAGCAGATTTTATATGTAAGTTTGCAGAACCTGAAGCACTTCTTCAAGTTTGAGTATTTCTACAAATCTACTTTTTAGTAATACCTAATTAGCACCTGTATTCTTGATGATGTTTGTTTGTACAGACAGGAGAAGTGGGGCATGAACTGCTACCTGTATGCCCCCAAAGACGATTACAAGCACAGAGCGTACTGGCGGGAGCTGTACACGGTCGAGGAGGCGGAGCATCTACAGGCTCTCATCACTGAAGCTCGCAGCAACAATATAGTCTTCTATTATGCCATCTCACCTGGCCTTGATATTGCTTACTCTAGTCAAAAGGAAATAGCTGCCCTCAAAAGAAAACTTGAACAGGTTTGTCTTCATTTCTCGTCTTCATGAATGGATGAAATAATTTAGAAAACGGGGTAAAATGTCTGTTAAATAAACATCTTAACCCTTTTGTCTCGGATATATTTAGCGTCATCAATGCTATTAGTACATAGTGGTTTGGGACTGGTAAGTCCCCTCAGTCACAAAAGGGTTAATGTTCGTTTCTACTATTCCAATCAATTTTTGAATCTTATCACTGAGCTTGGGATATCCATGATCTTTAATACTGACAGTAATACCTCTGACGATTTTCTGATCCATTTTATTGTAAACTATTAATGCTGTTTCTTGTCTTGTTTGTTTGGAAAAAATTCAAATGCGAGCCGGTTGCCTATAGCCTTGATAATGTATAGGAAGTAATTACAATGTCTGTTTACAGGTCCAGCAACTAGGTTGCGGTGCCTTTGCTCTTCTCTTTGATGACATAGACCCCGAGATGAGTGGTGCAGACAAGGAAGTCTACCAGTCATTTGCTCATGCTCAAGTTTCTGTTGCCAATGAAGTCTACGGACATCTCAATCAGCCCAAATTTATGTTCTGCCCGACCCAATATTGCTCAACAAGAGCTGTGCCAACGGTTCAAACGTCTGAATATCTCAACACATTGGGCTCCAAGCTTGCTCCTGAGATTGACATCATGTGGACTGGGCCCAAAGTAATCAGTAAGGTGAGTCCTTGCATTCACAAGTATAGGCAACATTCTGTGTATTCAATCTTTACAAGAAAAATTGGGTAATGCCTAGGCTTCTGCACTGGAGTTACTACCATCTAATCGTATGGGGTCTGCTCGGAAAACCACTTGAAATTGGCTCGATCAGAATTTATTTTCCGGCTTTATAGTCGCCTGAGATTAAGCCAGATGCTGACAGAAGCAAAGACAAACTAAGCTTGAAAGCAGCTTAGATGCTGAACTTTATGATCGGCCCGCGTGGACGTACATAGAGAGGCTAAAATAAGCATGATTCACACCATACTGTCAGACATGTGCCAGTCACCTTCCGTCCTCACTACAGTTCCTCATCATCAGAGGAGAAATATTGTGTGGTACCGGTAATTTGGTGGTATTCAATGATTAGGCTTTCAATTGTTGTTCGTAACTCATTTGATACATACACGAGAAATTGTTAATGCGCCAGAAAATTGTTGGTCTACAGATATTTTCAATATGAGCTGAATCCCATGTTTATTTCATTTCTTCTCTGTTTAATTTATGAACCTAATGACACAACGATTATTGAGAAGTTTCTTAATTGTCAATTAGTTCACACAAGATAAAGTTTCTATTATAAATGAGTGAAAAGATACAATTTAATTACTTCCTATGATAAACATACACAGCATGCCACTCGCGTCCTGGTCAAAATATCTTGTACTACTCTGATCGTTTCCGTACCGTGCCTTGCATGGCTGGTGTGTATGCTTCTGTTGGAATACATTCAAGAATATTGGACCGGACCGTGACTGGCAAATGCCTGGCAGTATGGTGTGAATCATGCTTGCTTCTCACCATACTGCCGGTCACGCTGTGAACCAAGCCTAAAGCCCTGTGTGATCTCTGAGTCCTAGACGGCAACTGTTGCTTAGTCTGGTCTGCATTTGAATTTCGTTTGGGGTCGGATTTTAACGTAAACAAAAAATTATAGTGCAATATTCATGTTCAACATTTGTTTAAATTTGTTTACTGACTCAACAAATTAGGCAGACTTTCTTCAACTCCCAGACTTTCTTCAACTCCTAGACTTTCTTTCTCCCAGACGGACTTTCTTCAACTTGTTAGTGACTCTCGTTTTACAGGGTTTAAGTAGCTGTATATTAATGCCTGGACTACATTTTACTTTAATGAAAATGCTTTAACAATATAATCTTTGATGTAATTATATTTATTAAATATTAATTTCAAGGTATATATAGTACTTTACTTTGAAGTGACTTTTAATTTTCTGTACTGATTCTTTTATGAGGAAGAGCTTAGAACAAAATATTTCTAGGAAAAGATTGTTCATCTTTTATCTTGCTTCTAGTATTGAATTATTCATGATTTCTGATGAAATGGTAAACTGTGACAGGTGCTGACCGTGGAGCACATCAGGGAGGTGAGTGCTGTTCTCAGACGACCCCCTGTCATCTGGGATAACCTTCACGCCAACGACTACGATCAGGCACGCGTCTTCATGGGGCCCTTCTGTGGCCGTTCGCCTAGTCTAATCCCTCTATTGCGAGGTGTCTTCACTAATCCTAATTGCGAATATGGACCCAACTTCGTAGCAATCAATACCTTGTCCCAGTGGGCCAGATCTGCGTCAGAAGAAAACTGCTGTGGTGACACATCTGAACTCAAAGGTACCTTCATGCTCATTAATGTTTGCCTCCTTCAGCACCGATACGAGAATTGCCGTAAAATTATTTAGGGAGAAATTTATTGCATTATTTGCTAGGTGTAGGACTGAATGCAACTCATTCGAAACATGTTTGATCACTCACGTGTTATTCTGATGCAACAGCAATGACTGTTTATTAGGTATTTTGGAATTAGGCTTTATTTTATTTTCTATTTGACTATGCGTCACGAACATGTTAATCTGGGTGAACAAGAGAATGTATAAGACGATACGGCAATTGTCACCGGGACGTCTCCAGTATTATGTTTATACTTGCTTGCAGATGACGCCATCAGCGCTGACATTCGCTTGGAGACCGAAGGCGACGACTCGAGCGTGAGCTATTGTCCGTCTGGGCTTCCTCCCTCCACTTATCACCCCAAACGTGCCCTCCGTCTCGCCCTCGAGGAGTGGCTGCCCGAGTTCAATAAATCTGTGCTCACAACAGGTCCCATACAGCAGCCTCAGATACCTCTTCCCGTTCCCATCCCTATCGTACCTTCGGTCAACACGTGCATGAGCCTCACATCAACCACAACCGTACCACCGTCTCTACCCACAATCGTCAATAACGTTAACGCTGTCGCTGAAGTTATTCAAGATGCGTCACTTATCCCGAGCACTAATATAGTAATGAACTCTTTAGTATCCGAGACGAAAATCGATACGTTGTTGCCCGAGCAGCTTCCCGAGATTGCTGCAGGGGCGAACACAGCGACTCATGACGCTACCTCGAGCACGTCCAGCGCTGAGCCTATGGACTGCAACCATTCCCCCGTAGCGTCCCCAGCAGTTGGGTCCACTAGTACCGGTGCCGCCTCAGAAAGTGCGGAGGATGGAATGGTCGTCGACCAAAATCAAGACAAATCTGCTACCGATGCCGAGTTTTCGCCCGCTGATTCTTGTGCAGCTACGGAGACCTCGTCTAGTTCTCCTCAAACTAGCCACTGTCAAGATAATCCTTTAACTCTTGACGATCTCCACTTACTAGTTGACCTATTTTACTTGCCCTTTGAACATGGCAGAAAAGGCGTCTCACTAATGACCGAATTTAATTGGTTGAAAAGTAACTCTCATCTCGTTATAACTCACAATCGGAACAATCCTGATGGTTCCAGGAAACCTGAGGTGAGTTCCTTCACTATTCCTAGTTTACTAGTGTGCAAGCAGTCTAAATTGTATTCAATGCCTGGTCGTCACTAAAGACCTGTGAGAAAAGAATTGCCTCTTGACCATACAAGCCAGCGCCGACTGTGCTGCTTACAATACTTTCTACCTGGAAAATTCTTGTGCTGAGTTTATAAGCTGAGGTTAGATTATGACTGGACTATGCATCAAATTCAACAGAAATTCATTTAATGTTACATAGCAATCATTGCTTTTCTGATGGCATGATGAATTTTATAGTTATATGCATGATGTTTTCAGTTTAGTTGAGAATAATTTCATTCTGTTATTTAAACTCTATTATTCGATTCCTTCCATTGTTCATCTCCACTCTGAAATTGGAAAGGCTCTTGTCTAGCTGATTTTTTATTTTAACGTTTTACCTATTAATTTTTGTGGTAATCGCGAAAAGCATTAATTTTCGTTTCCCCCCAAATGATCTCATTTCTTTACTGTTATTTGATGTTGATGAATAATGTGCGCAGGTCCAAGAATGGTTCGATAAAGCTGCCAAGTTCGGCGAGATGAGCGACGCCGTGAAGACCATGACAGAGCGGCTGTTCCTCGTGCGTAACCGCTCTTTATTATACGAATTGTACCCGTACGTGTGGGACATGCGAGGCGTCGTATCGCTCCTCAACTCCTACGTCCAGTGGCTGGGTATGCTCGCCACCGCTTCTGTTCTACTGTAAACTGCGCACCTTTTGTGCTATTCATTAGTACGCGAGTGGAACTTGGTACACACGGTGCATAGTCTCTCCTCAATTCGCTCTTTCAATGTATATATCAAGCCTCTTTAATGACTTGCTCTTATATGTCATAACTGCTTTCTTTTGCCCGAAGTCACGGGTATTGTCTTATGTCTTCACTTGACAATATTAAGAAACGTACGTGCTGTTATGACGAGACTGGTGCTTGTTAACTGTTGTGTAGTACTGCTACTGTAGCGTCACTGGAGGGCTCGTCTCTTGAAAACCTCTAAGATCTTCTCAGCTGTGGTGTTGATATTGAACGCATTCATAACCAGCGCCTTGCTCAGCAATATCCTACTGAAGCTTCAGTATATTTAATGTAGAACTTAACCTTTTTAATTGAAAGCTCAACTTTTTTTCTAAACTATTCTAAAAGAACCATTGTTTATGAGAAAAGCAATACAAGTCTGGCACAAAATTTTAATTTAGCATTACCCTGAGCTAGGTTTGAGCAGGTTATGGCTGCAGCTGTTGAGGAGTCGGCAAGTGTGTAGCAAGTTGAATGGAGTGGGATGTTCAGCTGGCGAGTGGGAGTTCTTCTATTTCTCATGGAATAATTAATCATGGAACTGAAGTGATTAAACTAATAGCTTTGTGTATCATCTCTCGGCAATCAATCCGTTTCCATTACTCCCTGCATTTTAATGAGCAAAGTGAATTTGGTGTTGCCTCACACTTTTTTTTCGCCACCTAAACATTATTATCGAATACTTTTTCATTGAGCTATTCAAGGGATCAGATGTTATATTGTCCTTATCTTATTTGAATAAGCATAACGAAAACATCTTTTGTATTTGAATATTTTTTAAAGGGAATAAAAAACTCATTCATCTAAAAACCCACAAATGTGTAAAGTTCCATTTTTTTCACAGCACTTTGTTCCTAAATTTTTGTGATTTATAGTTTGATGCTGAGTGATACACAAGCACTGTGTTGCATGCTGCTTTTAGCCCTGGCACCTCACGAGTGATTAGTTCAGGTTATTGTGTCTGTAGATTAAGCTTTGGCTTAGATTCGTCAACGCCATACGCTTGTCTCTCTAACTTCATTCAACCAAACGGAAGACCGACGCGATTTTTCCTCTCTTTAAAATGAACGTGTATGAGCACTTGCTTTTCATCATATAAATTCGATTTAGAAATCAATTGTGTTAGTTTACCTGATGTTGGCGTGGACGTTTCTTCAGCCCCACTTTCCAAAAACCTGCACTCAGCGTTAGGTCTCATGTTAACGTTCCTGGTTTGTTTTGTTGTTGCCTCAGTCAGATGATTGCTGCTAAGTTTCTATTAATTTTTCATCCTGCATTATTTTTGTTTTATATCATGCAGTTTACTTCGTTGAACTCCACTCGGCAACAGAAATCTTCGGATGTTTTTGCTTCTCCTCATCATGCTTGTTTAATTTTATTGTAATATTACTGCAATTTGAGCTCCATGAAGTGATGATGAGCGACGCACAGTTATACGCGAGCGGTGCTCGGTGACGACTTGCCTTGCCCATCTCAAGCTGCCGCATTGATTCTTATTGCTGTCAAACCGTCACTCAATTCTTCAGAGTTGATTATTGCATAATTTTTAGTTAAATTTAATGTTCAAATTTATTCGACTCAAACTTACTGCGTATAATTTAAATACCTAATGATTTTTGCTTAATTTTTTTTCTGTTAAAGTTCTTTTTTTCTAGTGTAGAGTAAATGAGACGTTCCCACCCGTCTCTTAGCTAATAAATTCGCTACATTCGTTTGAGGTTTTGAGCTCAATGCGGCAATGCTACTGGTCTAATAGCCTGTTTTCAAATTCAGAGGCCAATCTTCTGAAAGTCTTTGTGACCCCGGTATTTATGAACCATTCTTTTTTTCTTTCAGCATTGGGTCAGGTTTCAACTCTGGTCAGCAACTACGTTCACGGCAACTATACCTGTACGTAACGCGACATGTGTGTTGCATACACGCGCTTCAAGCAATAACTCACATCTAGATAGCCTTTCTTTCTTCTTTAAATGACGCGTCTTTAGCGTAGGCCCCGCCACATGCGCACCGTGCGTTCCATTTAATGCGCTGCCAACCCCGCGCTTTGGGGCTGCGTTAATCTCTTGATTGCCCCAGCTGCAGCTGACAACTTTAATAAGGTACGTTATTCTGTGTGTGCGTCTCAGATATTCCTTGACAGACCATAGATAACCTGCCTTGGTACATATCAGTGCCCTCAACACACCCGATGCTGGTGTCACTATTAGCCGGGCGTCACGTCTAACGTCAAGGAACATCTGAGTCTTGTACTCTTCATAAAATTTTCTCCATAATTTCTTTCTTTACAGATGGTTGAACATTTCTCTCCTCCTGCTCCCAGTGCTTAAACTTGTTCACCTCTTGTTCCAGTAATGTTTTGTCTTTTTGTGAGTGATACGCTAGCGACACGAGCCTCTGTTCTGCCGACTGGCTGACCAGAGCGCTCCTTCAATATTAATTTCACGTGACCAGATCGGGCTGAGCGTTAAAACACTGGGAGAGGAGAGACATGTTCCAGACGCTGTTGCCTTCAATTGTTCAACGATGTACCTGTAACGCTGCGATCTTCATGTGCAGTTGTGAGGCGAAGGGCTTTTGCGTTAGAATAGGGTGCGCTTTGGCGATCTGTTTTTTTTACGAGACACCCCCTCCCTGCTACTGCGATAACATGTGGCGGGTAGGTAGGCCCCTTATTGACGGTGTCATTGGTGTGCCTCTTGCGAATGTCAATAGGCTTCAGAGCCTGTAACTTCTTGTCCGTCTGACATGAATTGAGTGAAAGTCGATTGGGTACCGCAAGCGGTTCACTACTGCTGGCGTGTCTCGGTCACTGCATTGTACGCAAGTGCGGAAGGAATGGTATGAGAAAGATGTGACTGGTATGACTGACCTGTAAATTTTAAATGCTGCACTGCGATGCCCTCTCTTATACTTCTTGACGACCTCAGGGTTCAGTAAAGGCTGGCGTGAAGCTTTCATGTCTGGCGACCAGGAACCGTGGATATTCCGTGGCGGACTAACTGCAGAATTACAGGTTGGTTTTTGATGGGCCCTGATAAATCACTTGGAATTGTGCCATGTCTGTCTCGTTTCGGCGGTTCATCAATTACTCTAATGCATCGAAAAATACCTTATGTTTCAGGACTGATCTAGGCTGTAGTAATTATTTTTCTATGTATCCATTGTTGATAACGAATATGTTTGCAGAGACTTATCCCTGTGGACGCTTCGAACGATTTGTTCATGTATAAAGCGCCTGAACAACTGCTCTGTAAGACGTACGTAATTCGTCCCTACTTCGATACGGACCGAGACGACCTCTACAAGCTCGTGATGCAGACAGCCGATGACGGCAAGGATGGCTCACGGCTCTACGAGGCACATGCTAATTTAGCTGGAGATGTGTAAGCGGTGTTACTCTTGGCCTCTGTTGTTGGCATCTTCATGCATTATATTGTAGTTCTAATGTAAGCCCTCCTTTACTTTAAGTTTGAACTTGGAAATTTCTCACTGTGTATTTATTTAAAAGAGCGAAACAGATGCGCATTAAAGAGGCTCTTGATTCTAATAATAAGGTGTCCACCGCTTGTGCTTCAGATTTCTGAATCTAGGAGTCCTTGCATTAAAACATAAATATAAGGAATTTGAACCGATGATCTAGATGGTCTCAGAGACCTCTCCATTGAAGATATATGAAAATTATTGAAATTACAAAAATATATGGAATTTAACCGATCTAGATTTCTAGAAGGTCTCAGAGACGTTTCCATTGAAGATATATGAACATTATTGAAATTTTCTTCGTTAGTACATTCTTAGTTAAATTGCTATTTAAGCACTCATTTAAACCTAAAATTTGTCCAGTTATGTATTTCGGGTCTTAAATATTTTATTAATTTTGGTACTATTTGGATTGTTTCGAATTGCTTGTACAGAATTAATTTGATATTTCCCCATCTCCAGTGTTGCAAGTTTTCAATGCAAGATGATGATTTGCCGATATAATTTTCTGACTTTGCCTCTGTTTCCTAGTTTTGTGGGAAGTTTCCTGCGCGAAAAAGAAGACGAACGAATAATCATGGTGGTTGAAGACGAGACTGGCGCTTTGTTTGGCTATTGCTGTGCTGCCACCAACGCCCGGACGCACCGTCTGCTGCAGGCTCAGCATCTCGTAGACCTGCGTGACCAGTACCCAAAGGTGTGTAACTTGCGTTTATTTCTCGGATGCATTTCTCAGCCGAGAAGTGAGTTGAGTTTCTTCTGTCCATGTCCTGAACCACGGACCAGATCTCGAGTCAATGTAAAATGAATATAAAAAAAGCGACGCGACATCCAAAGTGTACCTACCGCGTTCTTAGATAGCGAAATAAATTCTAGTCACTCTTGATGTTATAATTACTCTAAGGAAATGCTGCATTTCTGCCTCCCTAAAATTAAAATGACTAACGAATCTTGATGAAAGTAAAGAAACTTGACGCCAGAGCGTTGCCCAAACAGCCATCTCTCCAAACTAATTATGATGCCTTCCCCAGGTGGTTCGAGAAGAGGGCTCCATGCTGACCTCGTGCGAGCAGCTGCTAGCCACTTTATGGGACGAACCGCCACCTTTTCCTGCACCTTCTGTCACTCCTCCTGTCGCTATGAGCCACAGCACAACTCCTATTCTACCTGTTATGCCTCCACCGAGCACCTCCATTACTCCGCCTGAATCTGAAGTATCTTCTCTTTCTGTAACGACAAGTACAACAGTGACCGCTGCCCCTCTTCCTGTATCTTTATCAATTACTTCTTCCTCTACTGATGCTACAACAGCCGCAGTCAAACCACCCGTCACGGCGGAAGCTATCAACGGCATTGATGTTAGTCTAGCAAACCCGGCCGAGACGAACGGGTCTCTGACTGCAGGAAGCACAGGAATCTTGCCCAGCCTGGTGACGCCAGTGCCTGCGCCCACACCTGTTGGCGACCTCCTGCGCTACTACCCCGCCCTCATCAAAGTCGCCATGCTTCCCACTCTCATGGACGAGAGCGTCACTAAGCGGCTCACGACTTGTCTTCTTGCTAGTCTCAGAGCCAAAGGTGAACACTTATTTCTTACTTATCGAAATTGTGTCGATGTCGATTTCTTTTTATGGCACATCCACTCTAGAAGTTACTGCTGCTCCTTTTGAGCACCATTTTCTTTTTCTCGCCTTGACGATAATTAATACATTAATCCCTTCCAACACAGGTGGTTTTGGCGGCCACGCATGTTTGCCCGCCGTGGACAAGTGTTCCCTGGAGCTGTACAGCAAGCTGGGGTTCACGCAGATAGGCAGCGTAGGCGACCAAGTGTACCTGGCCCGCTCCTTCTGACCGCCTCCGTCCCAGTGCCGCCGCTCGCGAGTGTGTAGCAGCGAAGCCAACGCTAGCCTTGCGCTTTGTCTTGTTCCTTCATAGCGCCTCTTCTGCTCACTCGCTCTGGAATATAGTGAAACTAGCTCTCTTGAATTCTCTTTTGTTTGATCAATCAACACCAAACTTCTATGGTGGTATTTCATAGTGGATAACCATCGTATTTTATCGAATCTAAACCAGGTCACAGGAGGCTAACTTCAGAAAACCCACTGAATGGTCGCTATGTGCTGTAAAAGTTAGCGTCTGTATTTCGTTGTGTTCAACGAGAGTATCCAGTCCAGTGAATGCTTCAAAATTCTTAATTATTATGGTCGTGATTACTAACTCATTCGCCCTCCTCGGCGAAATAGTGAAACGGGTTTTGATGTAGACAGCAATGAGGTCTATTTACAGTGAAAAGTCCTTTTACCGTGTAAAATTTCTTTATATTACCAGACTTCTTCATTGTAGAGATTGTAATGCAAATTTAGGAATTTCTTGCAGTGCAGACTATCTGCCAGGGAAGAGAATTTCTCTAGTGAGGAGACTATTCATAGCTTTATCCATCCATGCCAGAAGAAATGTCTTTATTCCGTGTTTACTGTATTACTGTGCTCGTCTGAATATCATTTGATGCCAATTGTTCTGATCATGTGGCGCTGTATCCGTAATTATGCTTTTTATTCACGAAAAAGTCGAAGGGATTACAGTTGGAATTTTTTTCTCCTAGGAAATTAGCTTCAAATATGTTACGTAAAATACCTATTACGATTATTTTTCTGTTGGCTTGATGCTTGCAAACTTTGACAATCTTGCTGATAGCCTAGCGCACGTCATTCAAGTTGAGTGGCACGCATAGCAAGAGAGACATTCTAGCGGGAAGGCCAAGTCTATACGAGTAAGTAACCTCATGACCGAGAGAGTTCCTACAGGAGCGGCCGCGTTTGCGAAGGGCAGTGCAATAGCTTCTTTCGGGTGCCAAGCATATGTGGTCCTAAGATATTTACTAGTAATGATATATTTCTGAGGAATATCATTTACCGCTTCTGTCGCAACTTTGACTTTACCGCGAATGACTTTTCTATATTTATTGCGTTTTTTTTGCTGATGAATGATGCATAATGCTTAGTATTTTACGAATGATGCTGTGCGGATCTGGAGAGTACTCTACGTTGTCGTAATGATTTCCTTAAAAAGAAATGCACGGTCTATTTCTGACGTTTCGTTCAGACGGGGCTTGATTTTACCGCCGCAAATCGGTTAGCGAATGTGCGCGTCATTTAGAGCTCCGCCGTGAATTGTCAGGATCCATTACCATACTTCGGTGCGCCTGGCAAGCATTGAGCACATTAGCGCCGGTAAGGAAATAGTATATGTATTTTCAATTCTTCCATAAAGACATTGGTAATAAAGATTATTTGAGTTTTCATTTTTTAACTCGAAGCTTGAAATTATATTTTAATAGTTTTCTCAACCAAGATGCATTTTTCGTATATTTTGCTTTCAGAGGTACGTTAGCCTGGGATTTTAATTGTTCGAGTGTTTGAGTTTTCCATTTTAACATTCACTTTTAATCCTATTTCTTGAGTTGAGCTGTGAAGGCAGTTCTATTCATATGTTGGGCTGCAGAATGTATCTTTTCTCGAGGTAGACGGTAGCGAACCGTTCATTTAAATTGAAGAAATGTAAAATGAAGTGCTTTCTGTTCCAATAACTCTTTCGTTGTGGACAATTATTTTCCATCATTCAAGATTTCTTTAGGATTAAGCCTTTTACTAACGATACTTCCACGTTCGTTTGCAGTATATCCTCGTTTAAGCCGAGGGAGGCGCAGAATTACTCGGAACCAAGTTGCTTCTGAATGGTATATTCGGAAACTTTGTTCGGTTTCACCGGTGCTACTCGATATATTTCTGTATCCCTGATACTAAGTTAACAGTCAATGGCTTTGTAATTTGGTCCGTGTGGTGAGGTTTCAAATTAATCTGATTTAAATGTTCTTAACGTTGCAATTTTCTCAGGAATGCGATGTCCTGAAGGCAAAGAAGCAGGATCTCGCTAATTCCCTCCAAAAGTGTTCCGATTGTTTCTTATGCATAACTTTTTTATTTAAGAAAGCGAAGGATACTACACGGGAATTGGAATTATTTGCTGTTGTACGATCGAGAGCTGATTAGAGGTGTCCGTAGATGAGCTGTTCTAAGTTCATCTTTTTGTGCGCGCATCATTCCCGCCTAATTGTTGTATTGTTTTGAATACATTGAGAATTCGTATTAAACGTTATATTCGCCCTTGTTTGAATTTCCTTGATCGAGAAGAGTTTTTCTCCCGACCTCACATTGAAACTGGAAGTTGGAAGTATATAAATGATACAAAATTAGTAAATTGATGTTTTTCTAAGAGGTATATCGTTCAGCATTAGTTTACATGGAGAGAATAATGGAAGCAAGTCGTCAAACGATGAGGGCTGCTCTGAGAATAAATATTCAACAAAATTTGTGCAGTCTCCATGTTTGTTTCATATTCATGAGAAAACCAAGCTTCTCGCAGACGTCCGAATGATAGTGATTTTTGTAAATGGATTCGATGAACGCAAATCAGCGTCAAGGAAGTGCACACTTTGGAGGCAAGATTTCGTGCCTGCACAGTTGTCACGAGCGTTAAATGTTTAATGCAAGTTTCGTTGAAGACCAGATCGTATTTTTTACACTTTCTCCATCGTTTTGCTCGCTTCAGCGGATTGAAATTTTGGTAGAATGCGAAAATGGGAGGATTTCAAGAAGCATTTTCTTGCAATTTACGCATACAAATTATTCATTATAAAGTTTAGTGATAGTGTTTGTACGCATCATATTGAGATTTAGGAATAGTGCAAGTACTAACATAATAGATGCAACTCGAAAATTACAATTTATGGGACGCGTAAGCTTAAGGCCATCCAGATTCATTGGAGGACTTCTTTCTTTATTTAGGAGTTATTGTCATTTATTTAGGCTTCAGTATGAATTGTTACTCGTGTAATAAGTCTTGGCAAGCTCCGTCTGTAATTTTCAGGAATTGAATAGTAGTTTTCGATCAGATTCGGTGTTATTGATGTAAGCCGTTATCGTGTAACCGAGTTCCACTATTTTTCCTCTCTAAGCTGACGTGTAAACTGTGAAGATCTTTCGAAAGATCGTTTGATTATTTATAAAAATGAAGGCAAGCGACGTACCACATCTCGTGAGTTTAATGCCTTTATTGAGTATACAATCATTATTCTTACAACTGAGTAATATTCTGGATTGTTGCTAATCCAAACTTCGAAGTCACTTCAAACGCTAGCGTCAATATATTGATAACAATAAGATTCAGCTTCCACAAAATTATTCTAGCTTAAATGTTCCACTCGTGTCATTCAGGTATTTATTCGTTCAGACATTACATTTATATTATTGTTCGCTGATACACGGACCTTCCGGCAGTAAACACTGAAGAAACTAAATTGTTTATATTTACAGTCCTTAGGTTCCAATTACTTTGCTCACATGAAAAGATTTCATTGCCTCGTATTCTGTCCGAGACACTCAGGGCACCGCATGACGATGCTGGTGCAGGCTTGGGGCACCGCATGACGATGATGGTGCAGGCTTGGGGCACCGCATGACGATGCTGGTGCAGGCTTGGGGCACCGCATGACGATGCTGGTGCAGGCTTGGGGCACCGCATGACGATGCTGGTGCAGGCTTGGGGCACTGCATGACGATGCTGGTGCAGGCTTGGGGCACCGCATGACGATGCTGGTGCAGGCTTCCAATGGTGAGTCACTCGAGCGGTTCCTTGGTTCACTGGATTGTTCATCGGTGAACGATGGTCAAATGGGACTTTCATTCGGTTGAGCAATTGGAATCAAACGGAATTAATGGACGATACAGCGGATAGTTCGACGCGTCTTCTGGTCGATCGTATTGTATATAAAATAGTAAATGCTTTCGTCCATTAAAAAATTTTTCAATCCTGCTCGTATTTTCAACCCTCTTAATTTGAGAAACGTACAAGTAACATCTCAACAGTAAAATTAAAATGCTCGAAAAAAAAAATTAAAAGCAGAAAAAACTGCCAATGAGCCTGGAGCACACAATGTTTAATGGAGATTTCATGATCTGATCTGAGTACATTCAATATTTACAATGACAAAACTTTTCACACTATATTTTATTAATTTTCAACTACGAAATGTACAATGACGCTCCGTTGTTACTCCTCGGTAAACATGCTGAAAGACGACTGAACGTAGACGAACTTGATATTTTGTCATTGAAGACGTGACTGCCGATTGTCTCTCGCCAAACTCTGGACTCAAAGCTACCTATTTGATAAGAACAAAAAGGTGGCAGAGAATCCAGCGTCAATCCGAGAGATTTTGTCACGACGATGGCAAGGAACGACACTACCGAGACGCGTTAACTTCATTGAGCGTCCCGCTCAACTTGCCGAGCGATTCCTGCCGCTTTCTTCATCTTATCTGTGTTTCTTTTGTTACCAAACCAATTTCATTTTTATGAATTCAAACAAAAAACTACTATATTATTGACGTCGTCACGTCAGTATACCACAAAAAATCCGGCATTCTACATGACGAACTTCAACATGCTCCTCTCATTGACTTGGTTCCGATCGAACTGTGAATGATAACGGGTATATCAATCTTGTTTCCGGGACGGACGGCGATGTCAAACTAGGCTTTACGTTGCTATTAAAGAGTTGAATTTTCAATGCAAAGACACTATAATCTCCTGCTAACACCCGAAATTTTAGATGCACAACACGACATTGAAGTTTCATTTTGAGATAACATTTTAACGAGATGTAGTGTTCAAATAATTAGTATCCTGCACAAGATACAAATGTAAAAAAAATCTGGAATAAGCATCACAACAAAGCAGTTCATGAATGAAAAAGAAGTAAATTTATCGAAATGAAATTCATTCTAACAAACAAATTTACAGACAAACATCACGTACCTAGCAATCCTACTCAATATCACAGTCTCTTAGGTCCTACGTCCACTGTATGTTGATAAAGTTCCTGTCTATCACCTCGTATTGGACAATGAAATCTAAACACTTACACAGCTCGCAGCTTCTCACATCAAGGCAGTAGGCACAGAGAAATGTAAACCGAAGAGGCTGTCAAGTTGGCTGCACTTTGAGCGAAGCGGGTTATGTTGCTCTACGTTTAGCTGACAAATTCATTACCCTAAATCAAGGAATTCGTCGAATTTTGAAGTCCACTGTTATTCATCGGTAAATCGAAAATTTGTTTTAGGCTATTTTTGAGAGGATTTATTTCTTGATATTTTCAGAAATGGCCGAAATTTACCTATTCGACAAAAAAGAAACATTAGATAGCTTCTTGTAGAACGCGTTATATAAACATGATTATACGTCAGTAAGTTTCTAAACACAGCCATAAAACTGCTCAAATTATAAACATACACTGAAACCCATTCTTGATGCATGAAAAACCAAACAAAAAAATGATTTTATACCGAAAATATATTGAAGAAGAGAAATGAATATGATGGTTTAGGGTAGTAGTACGCATAAATACCCTGATTTTACGTCAAATTCCTGGGCTTAGGGTCTTGCGTCTGGCACCTATCGTTTTGACGTCACATGTTCTGGTTGTGATGTCATTGATAGCAGTGAATTTCTGCATGGGATTGGTCACCGAGCAACGACCGCCACAGTGAACATGCTAAACGTCACGTAGGCAATGCGAGTGGATCCTGACCTGTGAGACCGAACGCGTCCGGTAAAGCTAATCGTTACTCCATAAATTCGAAACGGGCGTGATGGATGCGCTGAAAGACAATGCATCGCTTCTGGGTAGGCGTTGTTTTGGGCATGAGGAAACTTTACTATCATCTACTAATTTTGATTAAGGCGTTAAAGTTGTCTAAAATATTGACTGGTTAATGAATATGTAGAAAAATATTATTATGTATCTAGTTGGGTGAAATTGTTAGTAGACACAGCACAGGTCGGGCGAGCGCAACGCCTTTAAATCGCAACGATTAATTTCCGTATTGAATTATAAAAAAGCATTTATATTTGTAGTTCACGAATTAAAAAAAAAAAAAACACGGGGAAACACACATTAACTTCATCGCATCATACATGAATGGTTGAATGCCGTAGTCGCTTGGAGTTTTCCTTGCTTCTGAATCCTTGATGAACTGCCAATTTCAACTAACTAATGACATTAGTACGTAAGTACAGTTTTGCATCAGTCAGCGGAAAATTCTAAATTCTGCGTTAAACTATGCTAGGTATTTGCATTGTTAATAATACATTAAGTTGAATAATGAGTAATTATTTCATTATTTTAACCTATTTATTGAAACAATCTAGTTATAAAAGCCACTATATTTCAGCTGACATCTCTACAGTTGAAACAATCAAACTCAATTTCTTGGCTTCTCATCATTTCGTTGGATGCGTAGATCTTACATCTGATTACTGTTGGCTGTTTGAAAATGCTACAGAAACATGTAGCTCACTCAGAAACCACGCGGAACGGTTTTTGTCCAAAGCAGAAATAAAAAGAAGGACAAGAAGAGGCAGTACATATCATACATCATTTTTTTCCTTGATCGCACGCAAAGCCGCTCCAACATTATGAATCAGCAGGCTAAGCTATGCAATGCATGAGGGCACAACTTATCGGCGCGAACGGGAACAATGCCCAGATCGTGACTGAAACGAAAGTCAACTTCCTCAACAATTTACATTAATTTTCGATCACAGAGCGGACAAAAGTAGCAAAAGATATAGCAATAGTTTTCCGAAAATCTGAACAATTGAGACTCAGATTTCAATTATAAGTGATATCTAAAAACTTGTTAAGAGGAAAGTAAGCAAAACTTGTGAGATTAATTGCGAGTTTCTTCCTTATCATTACCCTTTCGGGCGCTTTTTTTAGTGTCCATTTCTAAATCGTCTTCCTTGTAGGATATTTTTTGTCCCACGAGTTCTTCGATGTTGTCTTCTGAAGGTTGAGTGTCGGCAGGCGCGGACTGCGTCACGTCTTCCTCCAGCGATGGCTGCTGCTGCGGCTGCGGTGCTCCTCGCAGCAGAGCGAGAATCGCCCGTGCCTCCTTGCTCAGCATGTCCCCAATATTTTTACCTGGCAACACACAAAATACTTCGTTTTATTAATAGCTATGCGCATGTTAATGAATGTGATACTCAGGCGTAGACAATGAACTGCATGAACTCGAGTAATAAATGCAGCTAAACAACAAATACATCTAATAATACTAGCGAATAATTACCGATCATAATTGAAACCTTCGAAAACATGACCACCTCAAATTCCCCAACAAAGGCACTAACCCCAAAATGGCTTTCTTAATTTTCTGGAGCCAAGACTGCTGCTGTTCAGCAGTTTGTTCGCTCGCGTTTGGAGCGCCTGCGTGAAGAGGGTCGCTCGTCTCCTTACCTGCACAGTCGAGCGTAGTGAAACAATTGGCTTGTTCACATCAATTTGGTTTGCATCTAAACTACTCACCGTATCTTTCACAGTACATTGAAATTAATACCAATATTCTAAACGTACGCTCTTTAAGCCCAAGGCTACTTGAGCTGTTACCGTCGTTAAAACTCACCGCAAATACAATCTAGAAATAAAAATCTCCTATAACAAGTATGATGTGCTCTCACCATCACCAGTGCGTGCAAATCCTGCAATGGAGCCCGGTGTGTCTGTCTCAAGCTCAGCCAATGCCTGGAAAAGCGCCTTCTGCTTCTCAGTGAGACTTGATGGAGTCCTGATCCTGAGGTGCAGGATGTGGTCACCTTGGCCGTAGCTGCTGGGGCGCTTCAAGCCCTTGCCCGGCAGCGTGATTGTTGTGTGAGAACTTGATCCAGCTGGAATCTGGTCATATACAAATCATACTGATTAAAATTGATGCAAATGTGTTTAACTGTTTTCCTTGCAAATAAGTAGTAGTAAGAACTTGAAATAATATAAAGTTCGATTTTCCAAGAAGAGATGAATTAGAATAGGTATTTGTGACGAAATGGAAATGATGTTATCATGAGATCGATCGCGAGATAAGCAAGTCTGTGTGTTTCGCATGGATTTAAAAGGAAAACTTATCCAAAACTAGCGACACCTCAATGACAAGACATCTCGGCACTTCAATGTCCTCGTAGATGCCCTGTATTCCGACACATACAAGACAAGGCATACCTGCACTGTGATGTCCTCGTAGATGCCCTGTATTCCGACACATACAAGACAAGGCATACCTGCACTGTGATGTCCTCGTAGATGCCCTGTATTCTGACACATCCAAGACAAGACATACCTGCACTGTGATGTCCTCGTAGATGCCCTGTATTCTGGTAGCTCCTCCCAGCACCGCCTGAGACATGGATATGGTGGCGTCCGTGTGCACGTCGTCGCCCTGGCGTCGGAAGTATGCGTTGGGCTTCACCTTCACTAAAATGAACATCTCTTTGCCACCAACGCTCATGCGGAGTGTCTGTCCATCACTGATGCCTGAAAATAAATACAACATAATTGAGCACTGCAACTATAAAAACACTTCCTATGCCAGCTTTTAGACCAGGGGTAAAAAGGCATGAAGTAAAAAAATATAACTCAGTACTCACTGCAGTGAGTGACATAGAACGCATTTTCTCGTCGACGAAAACATGAAGTCACGGACGGGCAGACAGACGGACGGACATGGCGAGCACAATAGTACATTTTTTTCATAAGTGAGAAAATGCACTAAAAAGCATTGCAAAAGTACTGAAAAATATAGAAAGCCTCGCATAAGTATAAAGAGCCTTGCATAAACATAAAAAGCCTTAGAAATGGATGAATAGCCTTACAAAAGTACCAATAGCTTACAACAGTATGAAAGGCCATGCAAATTTATGAATACTTCGGCAAATATATAAAACCTGACAATGTTATGAATAAGCCTTGCAAAAGTATGAAAAGCCTTATAAAAATATGAATAGCCATAGAAATGAATAAAGAGCCCTGCCAATGTATTTATGTTCTAAAGTATGTATGACCGACATCGCTACTGTATGACCGACATTGCTGCTGAATGACCGACATAGCTGAAGTATAGATTGACTTTATAAAAGTATGATACTCAGAATAGATAGAAAGATACTCTGATAGATAGAAAGTATCATACTTTCTATCTAGCTTTCATAATTACAAAAACTAGGCAAATGTACGTTACACTCGGCTAAAGAATGTATGCAACCATTCAGCCTGCTGTTACAGGTGATCAATATGGGCGCCTTCATCTGACATACTCCGGCAAGCCGTTCCTCGTGTCCAAAACCCTCAGGTTAAAATAATGTGTTCTGATGCCCACGCGGGAAGATGGCTTCTTGAATTTGTACTTTTGCCTTCTTGTACACTCCAATGAGCTGGCAGCAAGGAAGACAGCTTTCCATGTCATAGACCTATGAGCCATCTGGTAAACTTTGAACAGGTCCCATATTCATCTCCTGTACAGCAGCGCCTCCTTATTCGTGAGAAAAGTTGACCAAACTATGTTACCATATACTAGGTGCGATTGCACCAGGCCCTAGTGTTGGTAGGTCAATGATCTGATACAAGAGGATCTGATCAATACGAGAGGATCTGATTTGGTTACTGGCAACCATCTCTTACTACTTAACTACATGCCTACAACTTTACTTGAAGTGGAAGTATAGAATCATACTTTACTTTGCTCTGGAAGTGTTTGGAAAACTTTAGAGAGGGATCCAGGAGCACACCTAAGCCTTACTCCTATTCTGTAGCTTCAAGCTCCACGGTTACCTCAACGACTCCATGTAGGACTCCACAATTACCAACGACTGCTTAATTAACAAACTGTTGAAATAGAGCTGCCAGCGGTCTGCCCGCAGCTGGCAAATCAGTTGGTCTGACCAAAGCTCGCAATTGACGCTTTTTCTCTGCAGTATCGATACAAATTTCTGTGCTGTCAGCAAACATTTTGACCAGCCCAGGACCAGCTCCGTTATGTTTTAACTAAGTAGAAGAAAAGTACAGGACCGGGAACGCTACCCTGCTGGATAGGTACCACTCGTGCATCTCTCCAGCCTGACTCACGTTATACATGACAACTTGCACTAACCGTTTTTTTAATCTCCAGTTGAAGAAATAGATAGACCGTAAATATTATAATAATTCTTTGCAATTTTAGTGCAATTTCCAGTTTAATAACACAGATAAATACAAACTACAAAACATCTACAAATTGAAACATGTCGACTGACTACATTATTTATATTCCTAATTAAGTTCAAAGTTCAAACATATAATTTTTGCTGGTCCAAATCCCTTTATGCCAGCAATATCGTTGATAATAATAAAGCTTTTGCATTTTAATCAAATGAAGACCTCTTCAAACACACATTTTACACAGAAAATATACTCACATTTTACTGTCATTTGAAAATCTTTAAAAAACTATTATGCCTCAAATACATTAAATTTTTATTCATCAATCGCAAAATAAAATTCAATTTTTTAATCTAATCCTTTCATATTTTTCCACCTAGAATGAAATGAAATGTCCTGCTAATATCCCGACACAATAAGTATCTTAAATACTAGGGTCCTAGAAGCTCCCCTATACATATACGGTATAGGTATTTGTGATGCCAGGCTTCAAACAATCCCACCCACACAAAATTTGACTTACAGATATACAAGATTAAATTATAGGTACGATATTTTAGGAGAAGTCGCTACAGCACAACTTAATAATTAACATTGTAAAACATTGAGATACATTAATTTAAATTTTACACAATTAATAGAATGGGCCCAAGACATAAGCTAGGTCTTTTTTAAAAAATAACCTTCATTCATATATTTATTTACCATTTATCATCAACCAATCAAGACTATTCTCATTATACTCCTCCTTTCTTCCACAGCCTGCACCCACTTTCCCTCTATACATTTTTGCACTACCAATCACACCTACAGTTGCTTCTTAAAAAAAAAATTATCCACATGTATTCTTACGTACACTTAATGCCATTACTCACACAGAATCATCTCCCCTGCCCCCTCACACAGAATCATCTGTGTCATAATTAGTAAAAAAAAAAACATTCTACCTGCTATACGTTGCCCATTCCACTATCATTCGCAGCACAGCTTACTTCATACAAAAATTGCAGTTATTAATGCCATCACCCTGGTTGTATTTACGTACGTACATTCACACCATGTGCCTCAACTGCCCAATAAAAACGATTGGTCACGATCTTTAACTGGCTTGCACATCCCTTGCACCAATACTTTTCATTTAAAGGAGTAAATAGCATTGCAGTAATACTAATTATTTTAGGTAGCTGCAAAAGTTAGGTTAAAACAATTTAACCGTAAATTAACAATTTTTAACTGTAGTAAGTGCTAAATATATAACAAAAAAATATGTGTTTAAAAATTACTTTTTCAAAGGCAACACTTCTATAGAATCCAGTGTCTCCGATGTTACACAATTTCTAATTTTATTATCAAATATTAAAAAAATTATTTTTAAATTTCATTTGTCAAATAAAAAAAAATTTCAAAATTATTTATTCTGTCAATTGATACATGCATTATCTCCGACTTTATGCAAGTGTGCAAAATTTCAGATCGATTGGACAGGTAGAAGTGTGTTAAATATTGATTATAAGTTATGTAGCAGACAAATTTTTTTCAATTTTTTAATATCAAAAATAAAATTTTTTAAATTTTCAAAATCACTTATTCTGTCAATTGATTCATGCATTGTCTCCAACTTTACGCAAGTGAGCAAAATTTCAGATCGATAGGAGAGGTCTGAGGTAGAAGTGTGTTAAATATTGATTATAAAATTTGTAGCAGACAGACAAACAAATAAGAAGTGAAGTTAAAGAGAAGTGTTGTAAAATATGAAGTAAACTATATGCTTTACCTGCAGGCACTTGAACTGTAACAACTTTGCGCTGAACGGTCTGCCCTTTGCCCATGCACTCGTCACAGGGATGAGGCAGCACCATGCGAGTTCCCGCGCAGTAGCGACACGTCTGACGCATCACAAACGGACCTGAAATCAATATCAAATTTATTCAGAGCTATCATTTTTTCAGTCCTTGTTATACTGCATATAGCAGTGGTTCCCACAGTGGGCGATATCGCCCTCCTAGGGGCGGTTGAAAGATTTTGGGGGCGATAAGGAAGAAGAGGGCGTTAGGGGGGCGATAGGGGGGGCGGTAGTCCGAAGCCTATAATTGTCGTTCCTCCTATAAGTCAGAAGTTCGAACGTTTGTTTGACAATTTGTACACAACACGTGCATCACACGACTCCCAGCAATGGTTTTTTTCACCTAGATCTGTTTTTTTAACCTCTCCTGGGTTTATGTCTCGGACAAATTAACGGCCGGACTCGCGGCCGATCTCACGGCCAATTTCCAGTTCAATGTCCAATGTTCAAGTAATATCTGTCAAACTAATGAACTTAACTCGATGAAACTTGGTACACGTATTCATTAGGACCTAACGGTAATGTTAAGCTCGTGAATTTTTTTAATTTTGCCTTCATTTGTTTTTGCCATAGTTATATGGCAATACGGGCCGAAATTCACAGTACCGGGTAATCAAGAAATTTTTTCCAAACTATTGAGCAGATTCGAACGAAATTTTGAATTTGCAGTCCTAACTACCGAACGTTAATGTTTAGCTCATGAAAATTTATTCGATTGTGCCTTTGTTTGCAAGTTTTTTTCCATTTCACATTCATTCGTGATTTAAACAGCAATTCGTGCTTAAATTCGCAGTAATCAAGAAATTCATTCCAAAACTACAGAATGGATTTGAACGAAACTTAGTAATTAAATACCTAACCTCAGCAACGGTGATGTTTAGCTTGCTACAATTTTTTCGTTTTGCATTCGTTTGCGAATTATTCGGCTATACGTAAACGGCCCTTGGTTAAACCGGCCGGTAGAAAAGCCGGTCGTTCCTCCTATATCTGTATAACTTGCGAACAAAAGCAAAATAGAAAAATTGTCACAAGCTAAACATAACCGTTGAGAGGTTAGGTATTTATATACAGTTTCGTTTAAATCTGTTCAGTAGCTTAGAAGAAATTCTTTGATCACTGCGAATTTCGGCCTTTATCGCAATATAACTCACGAATGAAAGTGAAATTTAAAAATTTTTACGAGCTAAAAATCAACGTTAGGTTCTGATGAATATTTGTTCCAAGTTTCCTTGAGCTGTGATCATTAGTTTGGGATATATTACTTGATAATTGAATTTGGAAATTGGTCGTGCGACTGGCCACGAGTCCGGCCGGAATTTGCCTGAGACGTCCTAGGTTTTTAGTGCTGAAACAGTTAAAACAGTTTAAAAACATATTGGTTCACTAAATGGGGTTCTAATTGTGAAATACACATTTGTGTTCAACATTTATCTATTAAAATTGCAGCGTACTAAATTTCAAGAAAGAGGCATATGTTTTTATATGTGTCTGCGGGGGGCACTAGAAGTTCACTAGGGAGCCAAAGGGGGCGCCAGCCTGAAAAGTTTGGGAACCACTGGCATATAGTTTTCAATAAATATAAATAAAATTGCTGCCACTCAGTCAAGTCCTTGAGTTTATGAATACTCAAATGCTTACATTGAAGTATAATTTAATGAATATTATATTATAATGAAAATTCAAACACTTAAATGAGTTAAATCCAGGCCATACAATGAAGTCACATGGCATTAAGGTCAATGGCAAAAACTCACCCGTGGATATTGTTTCAACACCTGTGCCATTACAGTATTGGCAGCGCACTGCCTTGGTGCCAGGCATACAGCGCGAGCCTTGGCACTTAGGACAGGTTCCCACCACATTCACTTTGATGTCCTTCTCAACACCTCGTGCGGCTTGCTTAAATGTCAGCTGGATTGTGACCTGAAAACATATGCTGCATTAAAGGAATGTCATGATATTTCAGCTGTAAGGCGTGTAAATTAGAACAACAACATAAGAATACATTTAATAGTAAAAATACTGTTTGGAAAACTCAAGTGATCTTAGCAGGATGAAATACATCTTTTAAAATAATGCAAAATCTACAACTTTGTAGTCACACAAAACCTGTTAGTAATAGGAGTTTCACTGACTCATTTCATTTAAGATGCATTGAAAGATGTTTTTAATACATATAAAATAAAACCAGTAAATTTCCCCAAACTAACAGGTAGGTACGTAAATGTTACACAGGATGAATGCCAACCTCTTCAGATGCTTTGTAGCCAAAATCGCTCTCAGCAAAGTCAGGTTCATTCTGACCAAACTGTGATCTGAAATCTCCAAATATTTTACGGAAAAGCTCTTCAGGGTCAACAGAAGCTTGGTACTGGAAGCCTGATGACCGGAATCCCCCAGGACTGGAGCCTCCAGCTCCTCCATTATTGAATGCAGATGATCCAAATGAGTCATACTGCTGCCTTTTGTCCTCATCTCCTAGAACCTGACAATGGAAATAATGTTTAATGCTTGTCTACTCGGTCCATTGCACAGTACACATTGAGAAAATATTGATAGCCAAAGAGTAGTAACATTTTCTGTCATCTCCTAGAACCTGACAATGAACATAATGATTAATGCTTGTCTATTCTGTCCATTGTTTTGGCACACATTAAGAAAATATTTTAGTCAAAGAGTGATGATATTTGCTGAAATTGCCTATCTTGTAAGAAACTATTGAGAATCTTTTAAACACAAGTATGATAAATGCATTCACTGGTATACTGAAAATGTAATAAACCTTAAACAATTGATGATGAATAAACCAATTGCACACATTAAGAAAATGTTGATAGCCAAAGAGTAATGAAATTTTCTGAAATTGCCTATCTTGTAAGAAACTATTGAGAATCTTTTTACACAAGTTGGTATGATAATAAATGCATTCACTGAACAATGATATACTGAAAATATAATAAACATTAACAAAGTGATGATGGTGTCTCACTCACCTCATATGCTTCTGTGGCTTCAGCAAACTTTTTCTCTGCTCCAGGATCATTCTTGTTCACATCAGGGTGATACTTTTTAGCCATTTGATAATATGCTTTTTTGACTTCTTTTTGTGATGCATTTCTAGAAATACCAAGAATCTCATAATAATTTTTGCAGTGTACAGAAGAAGTGTGCAGAGATGAGTGTCTTGATTTCAAGCATCTTCCTGGAAAAGTAAACAATGAATGAATTTTTTCCCAATAGTTGCAATAGTTGTATTTCTAGGGCAAATGATCTTACAGCTGTCTTGCTAGCAAGTTACCATATATGGTAACTTGGTAGTTACCATAAATGGTAACTTAAAATCTACCAAAAATACCCACCATGACCCAATGGTTTGTGTTTGTGGCTATGTTATAAAGCCTCTGCTAATCATCTGACCATTATTTTGTACATCACACACACTATACCCAAACATTAAAATATGAGCATTCAAACGAGAGATGTGATTTGAACAATTCAATTTAAATATTCAATCCTTTTGTGGGCAAGCATTGAAATATTGAGAAATCTAAATTTCAGAAACCAGTAAAGTAAATTAAGAATTATTATATGAAATATTTATTCATATGTATTTAAAAAATTATGCATATTGGAGGCTTAACTTGCACTTGATGAGTTTATTATATGCAGTCACTAAATGAAATTTTTCTCTATAGTAAGTAAAATTTAGTTTATGCAGATGAAAAAATTATTAACATAAAAATTTAATATAATTGAATCAAGTTACCTACCGTAAAATAATTCAATATATATTTTCACTTCAATCTTGTAAAAAATTGCAGAAAGAGCATCAATAACAACATGTGAGTCAAAACTTTCATTTAATGATTCACAATTTCATTTTTGAGCATGGTAGGTGGTAATGCTATGCATGGAATGATGAATAGATAATTAGTGATTGACTGAGGCATGATGAAGAAGCCTCAAACTGTCAAACACAAACCAGAAGCCATGGCGGGCCTCATTGTGAGGCGATTTCAAGTGACTATATATGATAACTTGCCTGTGAAAGGGTTAAGGTAACTTGATGACATTGAATTAAACTGACAATTTGACATTAGATAGTAACTCGGCAAATTTGTACCTACATGCTTAAATTTGAATCATACAAAATATTTTTAGCATATGTAGTGATGACTCTTTATAAATTCTTCAATTACAATTTACTCCTTAAATATGTAAAATTTTTAAAATACAGGAGTTCATTTTTGCACATTTCTATGCTTGCCTGTGAAAGAGGGCAAAGGGCAAGTAATCTTCCAAATGGTAAATATAGTTTCCATGCAACACAAAATGCAGAAATATTAAATTAGTCATACCGGTGAAATGTATCGAATAAGATTTATCAAAATTCAAACTGTACTCACCAACAGGCTGAAGTAGTGGATGATGCACAGCAGTCATAGAACTCCATGAATAGTATGTATATTTATTGCCAGCTGTTATTAGGCAAGGCAGTTTTCTAGATAGTAATAGAGCACTTGACAGGCCATTAAGTTTGATATAGAAGTTTCTCAAGGAAGTCATGATGAACCAATAAAATCAAGCTTAACAGTAAATATTTATTTTGAATTTTAAAGAAAAATTAAAGCAATAACAATGTCATTCAATAATCATGACATTTTCACATTATTTGAATGCTGGAGTGTCAAGTTCTGAAATGAAGAGAAGATAAGTTTGTTTGACAAAACAAACATTTAGTACAAAAAAATCACTATTTTTCGACTGACAGTTAAAGTGCCTGTACATTTTAATCCAACACATAAAGCAAATATTTTGGGTGGGTAAGCTGTTACCAGGATTAATTGTCAGTTAGTCATAGTTTTGATGAAGAATACTTCCCTTCATAATATAGCTCATCTCAATTACCTACAGGAAGAGCTCATACAAGTCTGATTCTGTACAGTAGTAACTGAATCTCACTTATTGTGAATACATTAAAATACTATCTTGATCAAGTAATGAACGAATGAATAAATGAACAGGAGGCAATAATAATGTGAATTCAACAGGTGTTAGCAAACCATTTTATGATTGTCACCTGCAGGACATGCTTGGTGCAATAGACAAGTTTGCTTTTTTTAAATATTTGATTACCAGTATAATTGCATATTTTGAGACACAATATCTGGAATACAGTTCTTGTTTATTCTCTCATAATTTTCTAGGGGAATTCTCATCATTTTAGTCTACTCCACTAATTATTTGTCATGCTTTCATCATAATCATGATCTGTGGTAATTATACATAGTGTATATATTGACCCTATATCTCGGTAGGAGTGATATGTATGGTATTATGGTAGTTGAGACCTGGTAGTTGCCAGTGTGGTACCATACAAAGAGGTGAGCATGAGAGCAACAGTTGGAATTTTGGTGTTTACATGAAAACTGCTGATATATAGAAACCTCTTGTTCATGAGCTCTATATAAGGAGCATGAAAATCATGCATGTTAGTCAAGTAGTGACCAGAGCAGACTCAGCAATGGTCGTGACTCAGCCCTCCCTAAACTCTAACTTAACCTCCATTTCCCTTCTTGCACCTAGTGCTTTATCGCCATACAAGCTCTACCTGGATTTTATCTGCCTTTAATCTAGTGCTCTTTCACCATGTATGCTCTATCTTGATCTCCTCTGCTTTGCCCTTACAGCTCTATCAACATGCAAGCTCTACCTCAATTTTCCTGCCTTGCACCTAGTTCTCTATCACCATGCAAGGTTTACTTCAATTTCCTCGTTCTAGCTTGGTCATTCTAGGATACTAGTGATTGAGAGGTGTCTTTTGGTCTCAAAGTCATTACACTGCACTGAGAAGTTTGATATATTTCAAGTAATTACAAATGAGATTATAATTCACAAACTGAGTATGAAGATGTTTGAACCCCCAAAACTCAAAAACTATTTGACATAGAAAAATTTTGTCAATGGGCATTAAAGGCCTAATACTGAGGCTATGTAACACAATAGAAAGATAAAAAATTTAAATATCTAATAGGTTAAAAAATGAAAAATGTGACCCACGAAAAAGAGCTATTATTTAAAGCCTCTCATAGAACCCCCTCCAATTTTTTAATTTTTAGGTAAAATAACTCCAGGTTTTGATGAATTGCAGTAAAAAAGAGCTATTATTTAAAGCCTCTCGTAGAACCCCCTCCAATTTTTTTATTTTTAGGTAAAATAACTCCAGGTTTTGATGCATTGTAGTAAAAATGAGCTATTATTTAAAGCCTCTCATAGAACCCCCTCCAATTTTTTAATTTTTAGGTAAAATAACTCCAGGTTTTGATGCATTGTAGTAAAAAAGAGCTATTATTTGAAGCCTCTCATAGAACCACCTCCGATTTTTTTATTTTTAGGTAAAATAACTCCAGGTTTTGATGCATTGTAGTAAAACTCTTCTAGTTACATATGCAAATGACAAATTTGAGGAAAGTGTAATAGCTGTCTCTTATACACATCTAGATGTGTATAAGAGACGAGTGTAAGGACTTAGCAAAGCTAGAATCATGGCTGAGCCTCTGAGGCAGTGAGGCTTAACCGATGTCATTGTAATTTTTTACGTCATTGATATCATTGTGGAACCAATGTAAGTAACTAAGGAATTTCCCAGTTCAAATATTTATTGATTTATTACTATCAATTTCGAAACTCCACATATTTCTAAAGGGAGTTGTGATGAGACCATGGGGATGGGGCCAGGGGTCGAACTGTTGAGTTTAAAACCTGTCTCTTATACACATCTAGATGTGTATAAGAGACAGCAATACGACTCACCACGTGTCGGATGTTGCCACACAAAGTGACGGAATATAGGGATTTGGTAGGTTTCCATTCTAAAGGCTTTTTAATAAATATGGCAACATTTTGTGACGTTTCATCGTTGCTGACGCGTAGTGAAGTGTTTTGAGAGTCATGTGAAGGCAACAGAACTTACGTAACGTATATGTTTTTTTATAGTTTTTCATTTCTCGATGCGTCCTTAATGTGTCGGAATATACCGCGTTTACCCTAGCCCCAGTTGACAGTATACAATATAATTGATGCACTTGACTGATGTTAAACTTATATTTGTGGTTGCTAATAATTTCAATTCCTGAGTGAATGTAGACATGTAGTTCACTATTTGTTCTACACTTCTACCCATCTTTCTCTTAAATGTTAATGGTTTGTGTCCACTGTGCAGAGAGTGAACAAAGATTTAAACTTTAAAGACCTACGACAACGCATTATTGGCAAAATTTTTGCCTTCAGAAGATCTTGCCGACACATTTAGATTGAAATTCTTGCATTTAATATATTTCTCAGTCTTCAGCCAACTATTTAGAAAAAAAGTAAGGNGCCTCATCTCATGTCTTGTCTCATGTCTCAGTCTTGGCAGTAGTTCAGGACCAGCTTACCTCACTGGCTCATGACTGAACTGAACGTAAACAGCGCAACAGGACATGGTAGAAAAACTGTCCGAATGGCTGCAAAGCTCTGAAATTTCAAGAGCATGCTCTAAAAACAATAATCTTGATTTCAAATTATCTTTCATTAATTTCAAAATACGATATCCATGTTTATTTCCCGCCCCAATGTTACCTCTTGCACATCCCAGCTAAGCAGGTACATGATAGACATTTCTCGAAAAAAAAAACGATGTCGTCATAGTTCAAGTTTTTTTAGTTCGTTTCCAAACAAAAGTCAATCAAATTAAGCTAACATTTTGGTGGGACTTTCAAAATTAAATACCATATGCGCGCCGATGCGGAAAGTGGCTGTCCGCCATTTTGCCAGCATTGTTTACGTTTGAGCATACTTTGTGCACATACCTATATATTGCCGACGCTGCATCCACCCTCTGCATAGTGGGTTTGTGTCATGAACACATAACTGACATCAAACAAATTTCTACCAAATAAAAATGACAAATTTCGATCAAATATGAATACCGTACTTATTTTATTGGTCTGCTTAAATTGAAAGTTCACCAAGAATTTTTAGCAAAGAAAATGCCAAGTAAATTCACCATTTCTTTGATGAAAATATTTTAGAGATCAGCTCAATCATCAGTTTAATACTTATAATGTAACTGGCTCATGTCCTTGGCATGTACCGTATCCTCAGCATGTAACTGGTTCTGTCCTTGGCATATACCCTCAGGCCTAAAACGGGGCACCTAACATAACATAACATAATGTCAATGATGTCGCCTGTCGGCGCTGAAATGTAGGCCTGATGTGGCCTGTCGCCGAAACCTAATGTGAAACGGTTTGAGCATTTTTTGTTAAAAACTTCTTACAGTGAAACATTTCATAAACAAATTTAGGCTCATTTCAAAAGCCTTTTCAAAGGCTATCAAATGGCATCTCCAAAAAATGTCCATATGCTATTCATAAGGATAAGGTGCCAGACACAAAAGAAAAGCATCCGAATAAGGGCCTCCTCCAAGCAAGTTTTCCGTGGTCTCACGAGCGCGGACGCCGGAGCCGGAGGATGTCGGACGAGCGCGGACGGCCGCGAAGTATTCACAGTCTTTTTTGATTAAAAGTTCTCCATAATGAGGCAATGAGTTGGAATTTTCTAAGCATATTGAAGCTCAAGTTAATAAAGCCAATTAACGACTTGGACTGATTAGACGCTCTTACGAGTACACAGATGCAGAAGCGATGAAGCTGTTGTTTGTCGCTGTCGTGCGTCCGAACCTACATATAGTTTGGAAACGCAGTGTGGTCACCAAAAATATATAAGGGCAAAAATTAAGTCGAGAGTGTTCCAAGACGTGCAACAAGGATAATTCCGGCATTAAAAGGCAAACCTTATGAAGAAAGGTTAAAAATTTTGATGCCTCCGTTATCGACGTCTGCGTGGTGACCTCATTGAAGTATACATGTATATCCATGGCTGATACAAATTCACAGAAGTATTAATGGAATTTGAAACAAGAACCAACACCAGGGGCCACGGCTATAAACTAAAAACTGCATTGAAATACCTAGCATATTTCGAGCCTTGCAATAAGACCAGTAGCTATCTCAATCAATTCGTCAGTTAGGGAAAGATCGGGTTCACAAGGCCGGATCCCCTGTGGAATTAAGTCACGGAAAGTACATGAATCAGGCCACGGGCCTTTTCTTCAGGGCCGACACTTCCATTCTATCCTACTTCTATTCTAAATCAAAGACTGACAATATTTATTATAAGCTCACGTGACCTGCTCGAAAATGGTGGTCCAGGGAAGAACTGGGAGACTATGGCACGTGGTGATGACGAGGAACTCGTAGCGTGGTTAGATACACGAGACGTGAAGCGATGCACGAGGCGAGGTGAGATGCACGAGGCGTGAAGCGATGCACGAGGCTTGGTGAGATGCGTGAGACGTGGTGAGATACACGAGACGTGGTTAGATATGCAAGACGTGGTTAGACTCACGTGGCGTGACGAGATGCACGTGGTGTAGCGAGACACGTGGCGTGACGAGATGCACGTGGCGTGGTGAGACTCACGTGGCGTGACGTTGCTGTAATGATGTTCCAGGTGCGCGTGGAGTTTCGCGTTGAGTCACAGGGGCACGAGGAGTTGCACTTTGAGTCATACGGACACGTGATGAACGTTGTCACAGAGGCACACGGAGTTGCACGTTGAGTTACAGGGGCACGTGGAGTTGCACGTTGAG